GGGAAGAGTACCTGCGACCCATTTGTTTGGCGTTTTCATCCTGCTGTGGCTGTTGCTGCTCCTGCTCCTTACATGAAACAATACAAGGGAAGAAAGAAGATTTACTAGTAGTATATACTTTACTTTTGAATTTGTTTGGATAAAAATGGTGGGTATTTGATGATGCCATTGAAGCCATTACTGAGAAGTGAGAACTAGTGCCTGATTTCTTTCTTCTTTCCTCTTGCTTTTTGAATCCTGCGATAAAATAGAAAATGGTCCTGTTGCGCTAGAAAAAGACCCATTTAGAACATTTGCCAAGTTTTATAGAGCATTTTGGAAGAAGAAAAATATAAGGATATTCCCTTTTTTATAGTCATAAGGATAATGCTTTAGTTTCCCCTAATGACAAGAAAGCATCCTATTGTTTTATTTAGGGATGTTCATAACAAATCGAAAAAATTCAAACCAAATCGACAAAAAAATCAAATATTATTTTGGTTTGATTTGGTTTTGGTTTTAAATTTTAAAAATCAATCAAATTCAATTTGATTTTGGTTTGAATTAAAAAAAATGAACCCAACTCACTATAGAAATACCTATTTAAAACTTATTATTATACATATAGAAGTATATTTTTAAAATTTTATGGTACATATTAATCGTTTAAGCTTTTAATCTAGTTCGTTGCTATTATAATAATTTAGTTCTTTTTTACATTCTAGTTTGATTAGTAGTTTTTATTTGCTAAGTACAAGAATCTATTTTATATTAAACATAATTTATTTTTAATTGAGTTCTTAAATTACTCATCACTATTTAGTTCGATTATCATCAATATATCTTGGTAAATGATAGGTTTCTCCAAGAATAATTGGTTTGATAGTGTTATGCTGAAATATCATCGCTGGAATATGTGTTTGGTAGTGTATGTGTCATATTTAAGAAAAACTAATAAATATCTAAAAAACCAAAAAATCGATATAACTGGTTTGGTTTGATTCCAATATTTTAAAAATTCATTTACTAGGTTTGATTTCTTTTTAGGAAAAAATCGATCTAAATCGAACCATAAACACCTCTAATTTTTATTACGACGCAATGAATAAAAGTATCAGAATAAGTCGTGTAACTTTAATATTGTACTTTTCTCAATATTTAATTTTGTTTGCAAAGATAGACCCAAATGACTGAAACTACTAGTTAAAAGTATCAAATTTTAGAGCAAAAAGAACATATAGCATTTTTTTTGTCTACAGTTTAAAGGATTTATATTGCAGTTCCTGTTACCTCCTAACCACAAGAAAAATTATAACTACAACGAAAATAAGATGTTATAAACTAATCAAAAAGGTAATAGAGTAGGATATGTTAGGTGGGTTATTAAAAATGATAGTAAATTTTCTTCCTAGTAGTTTTAAATTGAAAGTAAAACATAATATTCTTACCTACTCTACAATGTTACTGATCATTGTTGCTGAAAAAAGAAGAAGAAAAAACTTTTGATTAGCATTCTACGTTATATATAGGATTTCGAAAAAAAAA